ATCTTTCAAGATGGTAAATAAGTCATGCAAATCTAGCTAAATTGTGTCAACTCTTATCAGTCCTGATCAAAACCCTTTCTACTTTCAGACTAATGCAACCTCTGTACTCATCATCCCAAGAACTGCAGGATGGACAGAATACAGAGTGATGTCAATCAATGAGTACGGTACAAGTGATTATAGTTCTCCAAGCAAACCAGTCTATGTCATGCCAACRAGGCCAAGTCCTCCTCAACATTTCCGAATTGAAAAAATGATGAGAATAAAAGATAGARTCTCTGTTTGGTTGGCTTGGAGCAAACCTCTTATATCAGGTATTGTTCAAAGTGGAATTAAGTATGAAGAAACTTTTGGACACTGCAATAATAATAGCAACTTATGACAAGGACAAGGACAACGGCAACCAATAGCGACTATGATAAACAACTGGTATAATAATGATCATGATATGAAACACAATGACAACAACTAAAACACCAACAACTAGGACAAGGACACTATGACTAATCAACAGCAAATAATTATCATTATTATACAACAATTTTTATAACAAACTGCTATGACAACATCAACAAGAACAATCAACAACTACAGTATGACAACAAACATTATAACTAATGACAACAACAACAACAACTATGAGTGACAACACCACCACCAACTATGACAAGGACACCACCACCAACAACAACTATGACAAGGACACCACAAACAACAACAACTATGACAAGGACACCAACAACAACAACAGCTATGACAACAGCATTAACAGGGACAATCAACAACTCTGATGACCAACAATAACTATGACAACAACTCCACAACTCCACAACAACCCACAACAACATATTATAATAACACCATAGTCCCAACAACTATGACGTCAGCTGACAGCAACACAAGCAATAACACAAATTATTTAGTTTAATTTTTGTTTTTCTAACCTTACATCATGTATTTTCAGATGTGCCAGTCCATAGGTATCGATTATATTGGAGTCGTCAATTGGACCGGCATACCAAACAGTTACATTCCCTTAGAGTCCATCACCGCAAAATAAACGGTGACATCTATTCCGTTATATTAAATGGACTAGCCACCAACACCACCTTCAAGTTTGAGTTGCAGGCCATTTGCCATGTCAAAGGCAAAAGATTACGGTCCAAGAGAGCTATTATCAAGAGCAGGACGTTGGACAAAGGTAGAATACTAACTGTAGATTTGTGATAGCGATATGTCATGAAATCTTGCTTGAAGGATTTTTTGTGTGTCATTTCCTGCAGCTGTAGAAACTAAAAAACCTGTCAAGGTGAAGAAAACAATTATAAAACCAAAGGTTATGAAAAATTCTCATTTACAAGCACATGGAAAGATAACAAGACAGCAGACAGGCTCAAGTACGTGTGAAAGGAATATAATCATATNCTATAATTCTAGTACCTTGGGGTTAGGTTTAGGGTGAATATTGGGGAAGGCTATAATTCTAGTACCTTGGGGTTAGGTTTAGGGTGAATATTGGGGAAGGCTATAATTCTAGTACCTTGGGGTTAGGTTTAGGGTGAATATTGGGGAAGGCTATCAGTCTAGTATCTTTTGGTTACCTTTAGTGACGACTATATCAAATTAAATTTGTGGAAGATTTTATTATATGATTTCACTGAACTTGCTTACAAGCATAAGTAAACGATATGTGTTCATTATAATTGAAGACAACATTGGTTGCTGTGCAAGGATTAAGCCTAGATGGTGCAATAAGTCCTTTGATGATACCAAATTGCGTTACGACTTTTACATAGTGACTTGTGGAATCAATCTCTGTAATTTTTGCAATACGCATATTAGCATGTAATTTACTGACTTTGTCTGCCTTATGTATTTGAATAGCAACAATGTCACCAACATTGAATTTGAATTTTCTTGCTGTCTGAGTTTGTTTTTTTTATTTTTTCATTATATTTTTTCTGTGTTTCACTTATTTTTTGACACTTTTTTTGCCTTTCTTCAACGTACTGGTCTTGCACATCTTGTTCTTTAGCACTGTCTTCGGTTGTTTGGGGTTCCTTTTCGTCTTCAGAAACGTCTTGCTCATCTCTTACTGTTGCGGTGTGCACCTCACGATGGGCTTTAAAACCAAATACTGCCTCGTATAGTGTGCATTTAATCGCCCTATGATAAGTGATGTTCATAGTGTAAGAGGCTACCATTGTGTTTTTGCACCATTCATCAACATTTCTTTGGTTTGAAAGTAGTATTGCTCTCATATCTTCCTTCCACGTGCGGTTGCTTCGTTCTACTAGACCTTGTGTAGTCGGTGTTCGTGGAGATCCATGGCTAATGGCAATATTATTTTCTTCACAGAAAGTGTCCAGCAGATTATTTGAAAACTCGCCTCCATTGTCACACACAATTTTCATTGGGAAACCAAATGCATAGCAGTAGCTTTGTAGATGTTGTAAGACTTCCTTTGCCGATTTTTCCTTTAATGGCCAACAAGTAACGTACTTGGAATGGTGGTCAATAATGTTTAACACCCATTGATGGCGCTTCCCACATTTGCATGGCATTTTTCGGAAATCCATTAGATCTAACTCGATTAAAGCGAGGAATCTTAGTTAGTGCTTCAAATGGTTTTGTAACCTCTTTCACACGACTTGTGATCGGTTTTTGCTCTGCGTGGTATTTACAAAGCTTCACGAATAAATTAATAACTTTCTGTGTCACTTCTGCAAAGCTGTCTTGCATCCACTTCTCAGTTTTCTGGCGTCCTCGGTGAGCGACTCTTTGATGAGCGAACACAAGGTTTTTAAATAACTGGCTTTTACAGAGTACTGACTTGCCTCCAGCTGTAATTATGTTGTCATTCGCATCCAGCATCCACTTCTTTCGTCTTATTATCTCTACTTCGCTCTTCGTAACTTGGTTGTTTGCACTTCGATAGTTCTTTGTTTCATCAATTTTTAGGAAGTTTTGGGCTTTTAAATAAAATTCGTCGCTTACATACACATTAATGGAGTACTTCTGAGTTTTACCATGTTCTTTAAGCTCTTCCAATTGTCTTAGAAACTCATTTTCGTCTACACAAGGTTGCACTTTCTCGGCCATATTGAAAATACTGAAGTCTCCGTTTAGCATTAAAGCGCATGCGTGCATATTGATACTAGTGTGACGTAAGTAACAACATGAATATATCAATAAAACAAAAGTTCAATGGTCACTTTGCAACTCAAGCCTTGGTAGTCAAGTGGTAAGCAGATAGAATTCTAGAGCAGAAGGTTCGGGGTTCAAATCAAGGTAGGTTCAAGTTAAAAAAAAATAGAAATAATTCTAAACACAGGTAACCCATACAGGTAGTTAGATAGTGAAAGGTAAATCCAGGGGGAGGTGAATCCAGGGGGAGGTGAATCAAGGGGTGGGTGAAATGAAAGGAAATACAGAGGGTGGAATGGTTAAGAGTAGTAGGGGGGATAGGTGATTGTTCTTTTAAGAACACCCCCCCCTAAAAAACCAAGCCCCTGTTTTTTTCAATGAGTCCCCAAAAATAAAAATCCCTTTTAAGAATGCTAGATATCCAAATATGAACTGGTTTAAAAAAAATGAACTGGTTTGAAAAATTCAAACCAGTTCAAAAAAATTTCAAACCAATGCAAATTTCAAACCACAACAGCTATGACAACAGCATTAACAGGGACAATCAACAACTATCATTACCAACAATAACTATGACACAACAACTCCACAACTCCACAACAACATATTATAATAACACCTCCCAACAACTATGATGTCAGCTGACAGCACCACAAGCATCAACACAAATTATTTAGTTTAATTATTTTCTAACCTTACGTCATGTATTTTCAGATGTGCCAGTCCATAGGTATCGATTATATTGGAGTCGTCAATTGGACCGGCATACCAAACAGTTACATTCCCTTAGAGTCCATCACCGCAAAATAAATGGTGACATCTATTCCGTTATATTAAATGGACTAGCCACCAACACCACCTTCAAGTTTGAGTTGCAGGCCATTTGCCATGTTAAAGGCAAAAGATTACGGTCCAAGAGAGCTATTATCAAGAGCAGGACGTTGGACAAAGGTAGAATACTAACTGTAGATTTGTGATAGCGATATGTCATGAAATCTTGCTTGAAGGATTTTTTGTGTGTCATTTCCTGCAGCTGTAGAAACTAAAAAGCCTGTCAAGGCGAAGAAAACAATAAAACCAAAGGTTATGAAAAATTCTCATTTACAAGCACATGGAAAGATAACAAGACAGCAGACAGGCTCAAGTATGTGTGATTGTTAAGTGTGTAGAAACATATTAGCTAGTCTTCTCTCTCAGCCATTATGAGGCTCATTCCCAGGTCTCTTCCCTTAACGGTTAGGAGAGAGACATGGGAACAAATGAGAGGATAAAAACTAATTTATAATGAGTTGTAAAAGTAATGTCCTCTGAACGAAAGACAAGTTATTTTTACTTTAGTGTGAAAGGAGTATAATCATATATAAATTTAAATTTAAAAAATATTTCAGCATGAATTACTTATCATTTCCTTTATATTATTTTTAATTTTTTCCTTTATTTTACAGTAAAATATTCTGACTATTTCTCCATGACAATGTTTTGCATTTATTATTAGATAGGGATACATTTTTGATTTTATGATTATGAAAGATTGCATTTCATTTGTATTTTTTCCATGCATCCATTTCCATTCTACTTGCATTAATTCATATTTATATTCAATTAATCTGACCTGTAAATATTTATGTTATTCAAGGTAAAAAAGTGAAATCAATCACCCAAGTATTGCCGACAGGTGAGGATTATAACTAGAGCAGTTCCATTCATTCATCCTTCTAATATCCCATTTCATTTTTTAATGTAGAAGTGATTGCAACTGAAGAATCAACAACTAATGAAAGCTCAACGACTGAAGGGGAGAAATCAAACAGGAGGCCAGGTTTAAATTTCTAAAAGAATGGGGGTGGGTCAAAAAAGATATGTTTAGCCTTAGTAGCGGCTCTAGGGGATGGGGGGAAGGGGGAAATTCGCACTATAAATGAATTTTATAAATCCATTTGAATTCATACATGTAAATAACATGTAAATTATGACCAGTCCCTAACTGCAGAAAAAAAATGAAATCCTATTTTTCAAAATGCCATTAAATACTACACTATAATAAAATGTATGTTTATTGCTACACAGTATTTGAGAGCAAGTAATTAAAATGAAGCTGTTTCAAAGCCTTTGACAAAATATATTTCCCAATGTATATTTTATATCACTATCCTTACTTTATCATTAATAAAATTATTTATTATTATTATTATTTATTATTAATAAATCATTATTTTTTATTACAGATGAGAATACTGTACAATTAGCTCTAGGGGCTCACAACAGCTCTAGTAACACCAGCATCAGATCATGGGTTGGATTACTTGCCATTGTAGTAACATATTTATTATTTTAGAGATCAAAAGTAATACTCTCACTGATGAAAAAAATAGAGATTATTACACGGGGGCACAGATATGATTTTAATCTTTATCGGTTAATTAAGTAAGCACAGCAAACAAGCAAATATCTTGAAATTGAGCATTCAAAAGCTAAAATTCATCACTGGGCAGCCATGTAATATTCTCTTTATTATCCAAACTCCAATGAGATATCAAATAAAAGTTCAGCATTATTATTTTCACATCCAAAGTTATCCCTTTTTCACACAGATCAACTAAGATATTTCATTGAAGTTGAATATTATTAAAACATTATTTAACAGAACCCATAATAAGGCATTCATTTTACGATGTTATCCCCACCACCCACCCCCTCTGTATTGACTTCTCTGCCTGACCCTCCCCACCCACAGATTTAAAATGAATGCTTTAATGGGAAATTTTACACATTCAAAGTTTAGTTACTTATTCAAAAATATGGCAACAAAACTTACATGTTATCATTTTGTATTTCACAAGAGGATTCAAGTATGTGCATCTCAAATCATATATCAATAATATTAAATATTATGCCGATAGCAAATTTTTTTTTAATTTTATTTTTTGCTAAATTTGGCTTCAAAACTTAAATTCTGTGGCATAAAAATCTCTGTTTCTGCTTTATGTTTTGCATAGTTTGAGTCATAAAACAAGTTTTCCAGAAATGATTTGCCATATTTTGAATTGTTATGTTACTTCAGCAAAARGAAATATATATTTTTGAAATGAAATATTTTTTCAAGAGAGAACTTTTTAATTCATCAAATTTCAAGTTGCAGTTAATTATTAATAGATGTTTTATTGTAGATAGTCTGCAGAGTTGATGTTTATCCATGAATGGTGCTTATTTATGTGATATAGTTTGTATAAAGCTTGTACGTTTTGCAAAGTACTGCTCAAGTTGTCTTCACACTTAAGTCCTGTGCTATCTCAAAGTGCAGCATTTACACTGAACCATTGCCGGATTTCAAGCCGAGTGGGGACTGGGCAAAATCTCCTAATTGGATAATCACGAGATAAGACTTGCATAGAATAAAGCCCTTGTTGAGAAATGCAAAGTTCCAAAATTTGATGTAAATCAGTTCAATAGTGAACGAGTTATAGCCTTTCAAACATTCTAAAATTTCCAAAGAAATGTATGGGAAGCTGTGAATGTGTCCGCATTTTGACCATTTCCCGGACACATTCGCACGATCACATACATTTTTTTGGAAATTTTAGAATGTTTGAAATGCTGTAACTCGTTCACTATTGAACTGATTTAAATCAAATTTTGGAACTTTGCAAGTCTTATGTCATGACTATCCAATTAGGAGATTTTGCCCAGTCCCCACTTGGCTTGAAACCCGGCAATGACAAACAGTCTGTATGCAGTGATAGAAACCTATTTAGACAACAATGAACTGTGAAGGACCTTGTTACATGACCTAAAATTGCATGTGTAGTGACCCTCTGGATACTGAGGAGTGTTGACCTGAAGCACATGCAAACAAATACACTATTTATTTAAGCTATATCAAAAAAGGTTGTTGAATAAAATGGCAAATGTCAATGGTCGAACGGCGATTGCGCAACCGAAAGTAGCCATGGGTTTTGCCTGTTGAAAGGCAATAAAAACTGATTTATGCTGTAAGATGTTCTGTGAGAAATTTTAATTGTAACCATAGCCCTTTCGGTCGTGCAATCTCCATTTGACATTGCCATTCGCCATTCTCCCGACAACATTTTTTGAAATAGCTATACTTTACAGTCAAAAGACATGAAGCTTGGCGGGAACCATGCACCTCTTGTGTACTGCAGTTTAATTGCCCTGCTCTATTGAAGAAGCCTCTTCAGTTACATGTTGAGTATCCCCTAAACTTTCAGAACAATTTAGGGTCAAAAGGGCTGGTCTTTTGATTGCTCTTCAAGTGAGCTTTTAAGAATACTGCTTATTAGTTATCTAGCTGACAAACCTACTGGAAACTGGTACCATTATTTAATTAAAGTTTATTAAAATTAACTTTATGTGTCAAATCAACATTGTCGAAACATTGACTGTTAAGTCTGTGTATTTTACCTTTAACTTAAGTTATATTGTATTGTTAATCAGAACATCGAGCCCAGCTCACTCTAATCTACCTCGAAACTAAAAGGTCCATCCTGTACCTTACCAACATCGTTTTTGTTGTGCCTGAATTATAATCAAATTATCACAGCTTACCTTTGGATAGTTTGATGTTTGCCTTAAGTCTACATATAATACAAATCCGCCATCAAGAGCACAATTTTGCCGCCATAATACCTTCTTGATCGCACGATCTCTCGGACAAAACTGGCCGCGAAGGCTTGAGTAAGAGATAATTCTATAACGGGAGAACTTGAAAAGTTATAATAGAAATAGAATCATCATTTATCTCCATCTGGAAGTTGTTACTTAATATTGCCAATAGGTCTGTTGATAATCATTGTTACTGATTCGTTACCCTGCGAGCAGAGGAATTTTTCCACTATCTACGAAAGGTAGAAGGAGGTGGAACAATCCTCTGTTCGCAGGGTACTGATTCGTACTTTTCGTATCGTTTCTTTTCCTTTTTTGGCGTTTAGGGACTGCTCGTTTATTATGTCTCATAGGGGAGGGGCGGTGTCAGTAGGGGGTACAATTTTAAAAATGTCTCTTTCAGAGGGCATCTTTTCAAAGGATGTCTTAAGAGGGGGTATGAATCACTTACAATAACTTACCACATTCCGCTTCTTCTCACACGAGATCACCACGCTACCTTTTATTGAGCTCGTTCTACACACGTTACGTAATATATTGCTGGCATTTTTTTATTATTTTTTCAGTCTTTTCTTCCGTCTATTCCTTGTACTTTTATCTTATTTAATCATTCTTTATACGTTTTGTTCTATATTTCTCATTTAAATTTGCTTATCTTTCTACTTATTTCCATCCATTCCTTCCTTAACCCATTCATCCATTGTCCATTCATCCATTGTCCATTCATCAACTCTTATATTGTCAATTCACTCTCATCCATTTATCTATTCCTATATTGCCTCATTTCTCGATAAAGAACTTGGAAAAAACTCATAATTTAGTTTCAACAATACTATTTTGATATTTTTAAATTTTTCCCCCTTTCTTCTGAGAGGGTGGGGTACAATTTTATAAGTAAGGCTATTTATGCTAGTGATGAGGGATACAAAGTTTTAAAAGTAATACACATTGGGGAACATTGGGGGGGGGGGGGGGGGTATGTTTCAGAATTTAGTTCTGACTATCTGCTTAAAAAAAACACCGCCCCACCCTGTGATGTAATATACGATCAGTCCCTTACTCATATTTCATTAAAAAACATCACGTTTTCGTACCTCTCGTGCTTTAGGTGGTCATTTGAAAGAGCGACTATATTCACAATTATGGCAACCACAAAATAACACACTCTCGAGTTGAAACTGTAACGGTAAACCCTAAAAAAGAAGGTCGCATGATCTTTTCTGCCGTTTGCCGTAAACGTCTACACTTTATGCTGGTCCCGAGGGAAACAGTCTTTTTTTCCGAGAATCTGAATGTTTCCCGAGGCGAAATACCCAGTTGATTCCTGTTAAATTATTCCCGCACTACTCCTTTGAATTTACACAAACAATGCTCAAAATGTGCGTATTTTTTTGCTTGATATCTATAAATCTTAATGCATACAAAAAGCAACACGTTTTTTTTTATCTCGCTACACGCGCTGATATTCTATTTTTTGAACGGCGGCAGTTGTCCTGTTGCTTTATTTGAAAAAATACTTGGAAATTTTGATCCTGGAATGGGACAGAATTTTTATGGTCTGAAATAATACCTTCGCGTGCCTTTTTTTAAAATGCACAAGTCAATTGAAACCCCCGCCCCCCGTCCCCCGGGAAATACCGTGGAATTTAACGTTTGAGTGGTGTTAAAATAAGACATTTTCCCTGGTAGTCGGGGGCACATCCAGAATCAAAAAACAAAAATTTCTTGGAATCCGGAATCTCAAGGCTTGGAATCCAGAGTCCAATGTTTCGGAATCCTGAATCCAGCGCTTGGAATCCAGAATCCACTAGTTCTCTAGATTCTCTATCGGGCGAAACAAAAACCGTTCTTGACCAAGGGTGGGTCTCACACTGACAATACCATAACAACAAAAGAAAACACAAAATATTATACAATAATAGTAATTATATTTAATAGTTGATGTGCAACATAAGAAGGCTACAAGGAATTTATTTAGAACACAGAGTTTTTTATGTGACTGAGGTAAGAATAAGGACTTTTTAGTTTTTACGTTATATTGACAAAGAAAGGAGAATAGATTCATTAATAGAAGAAATGTCGAACTTTTAGTTCAGTTAACCCTTCACGGTTAACTGAAAACCAGGCTAACAAACTTGTACAGTGCGACTGACAAACCATTAGACAATATACATGTATATATAAATTGTTCTTTTCCCTTTCAAACAAAACTTGTACTATTTCTAATAATGTCTATTGGAGTTTTGTTTTCAAGTTTGCTGCATCCATTCTTAATTTAATAACGTGAATAAAAAAGCTTGTTTATACTTCTGAATCTGGCTTGATGTAAATCCCCTCCTGAAAACAGCAATATAGACATTAGACTGACATAAGTTTTTCACTATTTCATATAGGGRTGGAAATGTGAATCTGCAAATAATTTATAACAAATTTCCTTTYCCTCTCATTGGTTGAGAGTTGATCATGTGATGCAATAGTCCACCCAACAGAAGAGTACTACGACTGCGTAAAACCTGCCCCTTCAGAAAATTGTATAAGGTAACACATTCGTGAAAGTTGCTCTTGGAAACTGAATGCTTCTCAAAATTTCTTAGTCAYCCTCTTGGGCAACTGTGTATTTTGTTTTTTTGGGAACATACAATTTCTGTTGTCAACTATTACACACGAATTCATTCAAATAATAACCAAACCAATATAACTTTCCTTCATTTCTAAATCATGTTTCTCATAGTGTCACGCTGTCCTTGCATTCATGTAATTATTAAGAAATATAAAAGGGCGTGCGTGTCTCTGTCCTCTGATATAAACACGGTGTGAGTTCAAAAAATATGAGAGAATCAAGCTTAGGAACACGAGCATAGCGAGTGTTTCTCTTGCTTCTCGAGTGTTTTTCAACTCCCACCGTGTTTATATCAGAAGACAGAGACACAAGTGGCCGTTTTATATTTCTTTTATAAAATTTTTCGAGCGTAAAGAAAATTTTGCCGGTAAGCCATGTCTCTGTTCTCTGATATAAACACGGTCGTCAGCCAATCAGAGCGCACGTTATATATCAAACATCTTATAAATAGGGATAGATGTTGACAGATGATGTCAACGATGATGGTGACATGTAATATATACAATATGAGCGGGTGATCTGTATGAGGATTTAAAACAGCGAGCTGAAAGCGAGCTGTTTTAAACCTCATACAGATCGTGCGCGAATATTGTATATTACTTATGAAACGTTGAGGTAAACTAGCTCAGGTTTTAAAGAAACTTTTGAAAAAAAAAATCAATCTGACCGAGAAAATCAGAGTTAAAGTTTATGCAAATGAACAAGAAATCTGTATGTAATATACAACTCTCTTCATGGGCTATGATTTCTATTGTGTTTTGCCTYATGAATATTAATGAGTTTTATAAAGAGTAATACTGTACAATCCTTGTACATACCATTGTTTTCCATTCATTGCCAAGCTCAGGGTAACTATAACCACTGACCTCCCTTTGTCCATGAATAGGTCTACCAAACTGATCCCCAGTTACATGAAGATATCTGAGACAAAGCACCATTCAAAATCAGTWAAACAAACAAAACCAAGCTTCTACTTTCCATTGTGTTTTAGTGTGAGGCACGAAGGCTGAACATGAATGAATGCAGCATGCTCTATTATTGCCTGACTTGTGAAGGGGTAAAATCTGGCTGGGATTAGACCTAATTTTGACTGGGATAAAAAGGGATTAAGGCGGAGACTGTGATTTGCAGGGGTTTCAATAAATTTGCAAGCAAGTGGGCAAGTTGTAAAAGTAGCYGACTACAGAATGAAATCGAGGCAGATTTTTGTCACCAGTCTCATGCTACTTATCGTTTCAAGATGGTGGACAGCTAGTGCTGAAGTTTTATATCACGATTCTTAAAGCAAAGCAATTGAAATTGAGGAAAAATGTCCACCTTTTTGAAACATTATGGTAGAAATATGAAGATTATACATGACATGGCAAAAGTAGCTGGCTCAAATGTCTAAATAGACGCCAGAGTTTGCTGGCTGCCAGCTTTTATTGAAACCCCTGGATTGGATGCACTGGGACAGGGATTTACAATCAAGAACAATATAAAGTGGAAATGGGATTAAAAATGTGAACAAAACTAATGGAATTATGTGATTTTTGAGTGAGATCTGKTCCAAATATAAAATGGGAAATGGAAATTGCCCTCCCCTCCTCTTCAGTGCCCTTTCTACTGACACATAATCTTCAGTGTAAATGATCATCAGTACAAATAATGTTAGTGGAGGCCAACAAAATGTGTAGGTAGGCGAATGTTTCTGATTTATACTACATGTATGTAGCATGCCTACATTGTAAATTCTTGTTTGGTGTTGTGCTGAAGCTATACCACAATGCAATATGATTTTATAGTTCAGAAAAGGTCTAGCAGCATGGTTTTAGTGTTTGCACTAAAATAGAGCAGAATAAAACTATTTGTCAATGTCTTACACTTTAGTTTCCTTGTGTTTGAACCTSACAGTATCCTTCCTTTGCCAGTGTTTTGTCGAACACACAACAGACCACTCATCTAAACTATCTCCAGCYCCATCCTCACCAAATGCRCTCACTTCTTGATTATGTGATATCGGTGATTGAAAGTGATGACTATGAAGGTTACGTTTGGTTGCCAAGTGCTGTATTCTTACTGTTGCCCCACATTTAATTGGTGACCTAAAAACATTGTAAAGAATTTGATTTAGAACTGCCAAACATGACAACATTTTCTTACAAGAGTATCCTTTTATAATAGTAGCCTGTGTACATCCGTTTGAATCTCACCCCTCCAATTTTTTTGGAGGGGTGAGAAATGGATGTACACAGGCTATTAAGAACTTATAATAGTTGACTTGTACATGTACTTAAATTGAAAAGTAGACTAGGAATGCAGGGTTTGAAATAATGCTAGGGCATATAAAGGACAAGATGTCCTCAAAATACATTTTTGGAAGGTCTTTATTAAATTTTTGAAGGAAAAAAAACTGCACAAATAAATAAAGGTCATTTTCATTGGATTTAATTATTTTTTCTTTGGTGAGGTATACAACATTTAAGATTGTGCTTTGAACAGCATCTAACATAAATGTACTCTTTATCATTTTTTTAAATGACTGAACGAATGCATAGTTAAGAAAACACAGGAATCTCAAAGCTACAAATAAAGGCCATTGATCCACAAAAAGTGTCATATATTCAAAGAGAAAACCTTAACCCTGATACCATCAATATCTGCTGATACTAATTTCAATATGCTACATCTTGTCATGGAATCTGTTTCTTGATTGCTTCAAACTTCAAAGAGCTTGTGACTGGGCAACAATCCCTTTTTGAATTTCGGAGAGGCCAATAGCAAGGGGGGGGGGGGGCATGATAATTTTTATATAAACTAGGCTCACCCTCTTTTGCAAGGTGCTTCTACTCGTCCTTTGATTACCCAGTAACTGTTGCCATCATCAGGTACATCAACACCTGTAACAGACTAAAAAAACAGAAAATTGATTGGTTTTAATGCATGTAGTAGAGGTGGCCATTTATGTTGAAGTGATTTTATATGRTCATCCAATTTTGAAGTATTTGGCATAAAGACTTGAAACATTGCCATATTACTGAAATATCAACCYGCTCTTTCCATTTCTGGACATCATTCTGTCACAGGTGATCAATYTAAAGATACAGCAAGTGCGATCATGTGACCACTTCCTACAAACTATTATTCACTTTATTTTTCTCTCTAAACTGGCTGAGAGCAAACAATCTCTACTTT